CTCTAAGAGGTTTGGGGTGAGAGATGTGAGAAAAAATGGAAGAAAAGGGGCTGACATATGTATTTTCAACATAGCAGTCTCCCGAAAGTTACTGTTCATAGGCTGATTTTTGGGTTTTCTCCAAAATTACAGTTTTACCACTAAAAATCTCCAATATAATCCATATGACTACCCTAAGGTTTTTCGACGTTCTAGATTCATTTTTAATGTTATNGAGACATCTAAGTCACAAACTTAATCTTATAAATAACTCATCTTTGTTATTTCTAATTATCTGTCTCTCGTGAATAAGCAAGATTGAATAAGCAAGAGGCAGTTTTGTAAGAATGCATGCCAACTTAGTTTTGTCAAGATCTGTTAGCTCAATCAATTAGCAAAATTACTATCCAAATCTATTAATTTGAACCCAAAATTTAATTTATTTGCTTTAAACATACCAATGATGGTTTGAAAACCAACATATTTTAGTTTGGGTAGGAACTTGTCATATTTGATTAAGTGAACCTCTATTTCAATTCTTAAAAAAAAAAAACCCCAAGTTTGCTTACGCCTTCTACAACAGGGATTTGAACATCTNGACTATTTCAAGTTTTTCGGATCTCCCAAGTTCAATACTAATATTATTTTGACCTAAAAAAATTAATATTTTTACTTAATTACCCTTATCAACTTTAAACACCTCCAAAAATTAAATTTCACAATCAATTTGTCTCATTATTTATTCCTACTATTATAATCTATAGGTTTCATGCATACCTCATCACCTATATTAGCATTTCAAAAATAATTACTTGCTATATAAAGATAAGAGTGTGGGGGTTTACAGTCCACCCCCCTTAAAGAAAGTTTTGTCCTCAAAACTTACCTTAAATAGCGAACAAATGAGGGTACTTCTCTCGCATCTCCAGCTCTGGTTTCCAAGTAGCTTCCTCCACTCCATGATGTTGCCACAAGACTTTCACCATTTGGATGACTTTATTGTGAAACACCTTCTCCTTGGTATCGAGAATCTTCACCGGTTGTTCTTCATATGTTGTCCCATCTTGAATTTCTATATCCTCCAAATCCACGACATGCGGTGTATTCGATTGCCACTTTCTCAACATTGACACATGAAACACATCATGTACTCCTGACAACTGAGCTGGTAACCGAAGTTGGTATGCCACTTTGTCCACCGCTTTGATCACTTCAAATGGTCCGATGTACCTTGGAACTAATTTTTCCTTCTTGCCAAATCTCAACACTCCCTTTTTGGGTGACACCTTGTGGAACACATAGTCCCCTTCTTGGAATTTCAATGGTCTTCGTCTTCTATTCGCATAGCTTGTCTATCTACTTTGTGCTGTGCGTAGTCTCTCTTGGATGAGTTGAATTTTTTGTATAGTCTCCCGGACAATTTCTGGCCTAAACAAGCTACTCTCTCCAGCTTCCAACCAACAAGTCGGGGATCTACATGGTCTTCCATACAACGCATCATACGGTGTCATACCAATGCTAGATTGAAAACTGTTGTTATATGCAAATTCCACCAATGANAGTTGTAACTTGACCTTTAAAAATTATAACTGAAGATACACAAATTGGGTTTGCACACTACCTATCAAGTAAATAATAATAATTTCAGTAGTAAAGCAGAGAGAGATAGGAACACAAGCAAAATAAATATTTATAGTGGTTCGGTCAACATGACCTACGTCCACTTTGAATGGCTAGGGTCGCTAGAGTATTTTATTATTCTGAGGAGTATAGGGAGAGCAAGTAGATACAAGCTATGAAAGCTACAGAGATGTGTTCGACTGAGTGTGATGACCCCTAACTATTTGGCGAGACTTACAATTTATAGGCACCTCCTAATAGATTGAGGCGGCTTATTAGTAACTAAGTTGCTACTCTGGTGGAGGTCGCGTCATCTTCGCAACGGATGAGACTATTGTAGGGCTCTCCTCAAGATCAAGTTAGAGATGACGTGGCAGTTGAATTTTCCTAAGATTTCATGGATGAGACTCTTGGATGACCCTACATACTCTCTTTGTGATGTAGCTCCTCTAACCCTAATGAGCTTAGCCCGGCATGAACCCCTTTGGGCTAGACTTACTAGATCTCTTTAAGTTGGGTTTGACCCATCATTTGCCCCCCAATGCCCTGTGTCCAATGAACTCGGAGACGAGGGCATTTGGTCGAACTTGGATTTTGACTAAACCCAAATTTGAAAATATTTAAGAAGTTTCAAAGCCTTTTTTGGGCTTTTAATGGTTTCCATCATGACCAATGACTATAAGTTTTGCAGGGCTTGTCAAGAGCTTCGATTTGATATATTATGGACCCCGTTTGGAGAAATAGATCAAAAGTTACGATCAAAATAGTGTCAACCCTTCTTGGAGACCGAATTGAACAAGGGGAAGGAGCTGGAGGCAAGGGGTTGAGGTGTCGCGCCATTAAGCGAGCTCCCATGGGCGAGCATCATGGTGGAGGTCCTGATGGAATCAATGAGCAAGCTGTAACGCCCCAAAAGCCAGAGGTCTGTAATTTAACAAAATTCGGGCAGAGTCTTCTTTGTACGGGGAGCTCTACCAAAAATACAACCTGTGCAATTACACTACATTAACCACACCGAATCCATTTATGAATAAATAATGACCACACCGGGTCCATTTACCCATACTCATATAACTACATGCAAATTTTCTTTTACATTAAAACAATCCATATAAGTTCGATTTGTAACGCCCCAAAATCTCCCTTGGACAACATTATTGTCTAAAATCATTCACATCATGAGAGCAACTAAATGGACTTCATAACAAAAGAGAATTTCGTTCATCATCCACAATATATACAACATCACCCAAAATGATATGCCAAACTATGGCAATTACATCCAAAAATAAGTCAACTATTATCTTGCAGCGGAATAATGAAAATAATAGACTTCACATTGTCTCAAAATAAATTTTGTAGTCTAGAACATAAGAGAATATAGCTCTAAACGTCTACATCAGGATTCACATTCCCATCTATTGGGGCTTCCAAATGTACCGGCTCATCACCTTAGAGCTCCTCCTCTAGACCATAATCTGAAAAAGATATTGTTTGTAAGAGGGGGTGAGCATTAAGCTCT